TCTGTCCTCCGTCCGTCGGGGGTGAGTGTGCTCTTAGCACGGACGTTCTTGAGGACAGACAGGAGGAGTTTGAGTGCTTTGCTGCTTCTGTACCTCATTTCGTGTCCATGCTGCTGGCCCCTGAGGGAGACCCGGATGCACTAGACATCCCGACCCCGCGCTCTTATGCAGAGGCGATAGAGGGTCCCTACTCCTCTCAGTGGCAGGCAGCCATGGACGCAGAGATGGCTTCCTGGAAGTCCACAGGCACCTACGTTGACGAGGTTCCCCCACCTGGGGCGAACATCGTCAGTGGCATGTGGATCTTCAGGGTGAAGCGGCCGCCGGGTTCTCCGCCTGCCTTCAAGGCGCGTTACGTTGCACGTGGCTTCATGTCAAACTTATATCTGCTATGGTCTATTTAGGCTGTAGTGAGGTAGCTCTTAGTGGGTACAACTGCCTGCCACTGAGAGAGGCGCCTCGTTCTCCTCCAGTTCTGTACGTCGACAACAAGGCCATGCTGGCCTTGTGTCAGGAGCACTGACTGGAGCACAGAACGAAGCACATTGCTCTGTGCTACTTCCTTGCTCAAGAGTTGCAGCAGCGTGGCCAGCTTCGTCTTGCTTACGTGGCCTCTCAGGCCAACACTGCTGATGTCTTCACCAAGGCACTTCAGCCTTGTGATCATCAGCGTTTCTGTACTGTGTTAGGCCTTGTACCTACTGTGCCTCACTTGTTGACTTCTTGACTCTGCTTGTACTGTACTCTATATACTTATACCTGCATGCTTACACTTGCTAGGTTGTGTTCACTTTACTGTTTACTTTCCTTTATATAACTGTGCATGTGAACTGGCCTTATGGCCCTTTGCTTGTGCTCAGACTGTGTGGTGACTTTGTGATCCACCCTGAGCTTGCTTTGCTTTTCTTGACTGGTCTTGTGACCTCTTGTTCTCCCCCACTTTGCCTATGGGGGTGTGTCAAACTTATATCTGCTATGGTCTATTTAGGCTGTAGTGGGGTAGCTCTTAGTGGGTACAACACTTATGTGTTTCCTATATGTACCCATCTCATTTCTAGTTCATTCATTCTTTCGTCTATCATTCTCACACTTCAGTCAGCGACAGGGAGTTGACTTCTTTCAGACCTTCTCCCCTACCCCGAAGATGACCACTCTTCGGGTACTGCTGCACGTTGCTGCTCAGCGTGACTACGAGCTCCACTCGCTTGACTTCAGCACAGCCTTCCTACAGGGCAGCCTGCACGAGGAGATCTGGCTGCGCCGCCCACCTGGCTTCACTGGGTCGTTTCCTGCTGGTACCCAGTGGAGCCTCCGGCGGCCAGTCTACGGTCTCCGCCACGCGCCCCGTGAGTGGCACGACACGCTCAGGACGACTCTTGCTTCTCTTGGTTTTGCTCCTTCCACAGCTGACCCTTCTCTGTTTCTACGCACTGACGCTACTCTGCCGCCTTTCTACGTTCTCGTGTACGTAGACGACCTCGTCTTTGCTACTGCTGACACAGAGGCACTCGCCCACGTGAAGTCCGAGCTGCAGAAGAGACACACGTGCACAGACCTGGGTGAGCTGACAAGCTATCTTGGCTTGCGGATCACCCGGGACAGAGCACAGCGCACCATTACCTTGACTCAGTCACACATGGTGCAGCAGGTCCTTCAGCGCTTCGGCTTCACGTACTCCTCGCCACAGTCCACTCCTCTGCCTACCGGTCACTCGCTCTCAGCTCCACCTTCGGACGAGTCCGTAGAGCCGAGTGGCCCGTATCCAGAGCTTGTGGGCTGTCTCATGTACCTGATGACCTGCACACGACCTGACCTCGCATACCCTCTCAGCCTTCTGGCTCGCTACGTGGCTCCCGGCAGGCACCGAAAGGTGCACTGGGATGCTGCGAAGAGGGTGTTGCGATACTTGTGCAGTACATCGGGCATGGGGCTAGTGCTTGGAGGACGGGCTCGAGTTGTCCTCATTGGTCACGCTGACGCCTCCTGGGTTGACGACTTGGCTACGCAGCGGTCGTCACAGGGTTACACCTTCAGTCTTGGCTCCGGTTCTGTCTCTTGGCGGTCTACCCGCTCTTCTTCTGTTCTCAGCTCCAGTTGTGAGGCTGAGATCTACGCTGGGGCCATGGCTGCACAGGAGCTACGCTGGCTCACCTACCTGCTTACCGACTTGGGAGAGGCGCCTCGTTCTCCTCCAGTTCTGTACGTCGACAACAAGGCCATGCTGGCCTTGTGTCAGGAGCACAGAACGAAGCACATTGCTCTGCGCTACTTCCTTGCTCGAGAGTTGCAGCAGCGTGGCCAGCTTCGTCTTGCTTACGTGGCCTCTCAGGCCAACACTGCTGATGTTTTCACCAAGGCACTTCAGCCTTGTGATCATCAGCGTTTCTGTACTGTGTTAGGCCTTGTACCTACTGTGCCTCACTTGTTGACTTCTTGACTCTGCTTGTACTGTACTCTATATACTTATACCTGCATGCTTACACTTGCTAGGTTGTGTTCACTGTATTGTTTGCTTTCCTTTATATAACTCTGCATGTGAACTGGCCTTGTGGCCCTTTGCTTGTGCTCAGACTGTGTGGTGACTTTGTGATCCACCCTGAGCTTGCTTTGCTTTTCCTGACTGGTCTTGTGACCCCTTGTTCTCCCCCACTTTGCCTATGGGGGTGTGTCAAACTTATATCTGCTATAGTCTGTTTAGGCTGTAGTGGGGTAGTCCTTAGAGGGTACAACACTTTTGTGTTTCCTACTTGTACCCATCTCATTTCTAGTTCAAACATTCCTACCTATTATTCTCACAAACATGCCTGTAACCCTTCCCTAGGATCAATCGGGGATCACCAGTGGACCTCTGACACCCCCCCGCACTGGGATGCCCGAAGTGCACACACTGGGATTCGAACCCGAGACCTTCGCTCTCATACCATGTCAGAATCCCAGTCACTAGACCACTGGGATAAAAGGGCTTGTTAAGTAGCGGGTCAGTGCGCCCATAACCCCCCAGGCCAACATGCCTGTAACCCTTCCCTAGGATCAATCGGGGATCACCAGTGGACCTCTGACAAGCCAGGGATGTCAGGTCTGCTTCCGACCACTGGCACTTGTTCCGCGAGGCCGGCGGGCGCTTCTCCTCCTTCGTGCGGCGTGTGCTGCGCTCGTAAATGCTCCCTTCTTCGCCCCCGTCCGATTCTTCCTCCTCGTCGTCACTTCCGACTTTGCAATTGTCGGATCCGGCATCGCTGTCCGATTCCGACACAATCTCCTCCAGCTCGTCGTCACTGACGTCCGTGTCAGCCCCTGTTTTGGTGTCGTCATGCCGGGGACTGCGGCTTGTGCTGGCACCAGCAGAGTCGCGTACGGTCTTAGCCATACGCTTGATGGATGGGGACGGCTTCCCCTGCTTTTGCTGCTCCTTCATCCATGCAACATACGGGGGGTCTTCCATTGGATTGTCGTCGCTAACCTTCTCCTTTCCCTTGCCGCGTGAGCTTCGATGTGGAGACATGGGGATACTATGGCGTCGCTTACAACGTAGATAGTGGGATGGTGTGGTTGCTCGGGAATATTTTAGATCAAGATCTACTTCCTCATGCTTTATGTTTCTTCCCAACTGCTGAAACCCTTGCGTGGGTATGTTGCAAGAGGTGTGTGTGGTTGGGTATGGTTTTGGAGCCGCGCAGATCTGCATGTGCCTTTTCCCACCAGGAATTTTGACTGATGTGCAGGTGGGGTGAGTGTCGCTCAACTGTCCGAGTGTTTTGGTGTGGCGCGCAACCATTGGGTGCGACTGTTGTGGGGCCTGCAATTTTGGCAGAGAAAACTACGTGCCAGTTTGGGGGTCGCCTGAAGTCAGAGGCACCAGAGTGGTGTTTTGTGTTGTTTGGGGCATCCGTGATTCGCGCATGCTCGGAAGTGGCCGCATGACCCGAACATGGATACGCCCTCACCCTCTACCTTTCTTCTCGCGTGTAGGCACCCAGGTCTGCACTGAGGTGCTGAAGCTTTTTGCCAAGGTCCATGTCCGCCTCCGTTTCCAGCCGTTTGAGCACGTTCTCAGTTGTTACCCTGACCCCCCTCCTCTTAGCTTGCCGCGCTTGCATTCTCCATAGGCCCGGACCTTGGTCGAGCGGAGATGTCACCGCCAGCCCAACCTTGACCGCGAACCAGTGGTCTAACAGCCCTCTTGGTGCCTTGACATGCCGCGCCTCTGCCAGGACCCCCAAGCAACAAAAACGACACCAAGCCACGGTCAATCCTTGAGCTAGATTGCGTCGCCCTATCGAGGAAGGTGTACTCCAAGCAAGATGGGTGCAGTGTTCGGAACGCGTCCCTGAGGTCCCAGGCCAACCAGTAACTCAGCCACCTCTGGTTTTCAAGCACCAATTCCGCGCGGGATGTTTTGTCCATGTCCGTGTCCTCCACCAGGTTCAGATCCCCCATCAGAACCAGGTGTGTTGACGGGAGTTGAGCTTGCACAAACTGCGGGAGGCGGTTCCGGAAGAAAACTGCCCTATTGCAAGGTTGCGCGGGTAAGTAAGCCACTATTAATCTGAAAGTAATCTGTTCAGTCGTTATTGCTACGCTGACAAGCCTTCGTGACTAGTGCATGACTGCGTCAGTGAACGTCACCTCATCTTTGAAAGAAAGTACTGCCACATCCCCCTCCCCCCCTCGCGTTCGCTGTTTCCTACCGCCACTATTGCCGATGGCTTAAGTTGTGTCCAGAAGTTATGATCTTCTCGAATCCTTGTGTCAGTCAACACCATCACGGCTGCTGTTGTTTGGATCCATTTCTTGTGTGAAGTTCTCTTGCCGTAGCCACCGAGGCCGTTAGCGTTGACCTCGCAAATGGTAAGGTGGTTGTTGTTACCTGTTATTCAAATGTAAACGAGCCCCTCTGCATCCATAGGCTTGGTACAAAGAAACTCCTCCTATCCACCTCTGTCTGTCCTTGGCAAGGAATCTCAAGCAAGCTTTCTGCCCCACACCTTCATCTGACACCTCTACAGGCCGTACTCCTTGCGAATCGGGATGACCTTCAACTTCCCCTTGCTCACACGGCTTGCAGCCCCCCCCTTCAGAAGTGCAGTGCAGTGCTGGACGGACTTCACATGGGTCTCCGCCTGGATGAACCTGGTACCATGGGCTTTGCTGCACGCCTCCTGAACACGGATCCAGTCCTCCCGGCTCCCTCCTGTGGAGATCAGCACTAAAGCCGGGTCGCGCAGGATCTTCTTCATGCGTGCATCGAGCACGTGTGCTACGGCTGCTCACGTAAGAGGCGACGAAGCCATCAGCGATCCCGAACGGGACCCCGACAGCCTGAAAAACACGGTTAGTGCACGACTATTCACCGTTGATCGTATGCAAGCGCAGCAGCGTCAGGTTCCACTTGGCAATATTATCCTGGCGCTCCGTGACATAATCATCATGAAATTTAGTCAAGTGCATGCCTTTGCAGAAATCCCAGGAAAGAGAAGGATAATGCATGATGAGCTGCCTATGGTGGACTGTGTCAGTCAGCAGATGCCACCAACGATACTTATCCTCCGGGTGCCCTTTGACCTGACCCTTGATCTTATCAGTGTCCGCCCCCATCACCGAATCCACCACACGGTGGAAAGTAGCACCGCTGAGGTAGGGAGTACGACCGCGTTTCTCCAACACCGTATTCACCAGATACTCCAACACCATTTTCTGTGTAATCGCGGCCGGGACGCTCCTTAGCAGCACCTCTATGGAGTCCGGGTTCGTCGCACGCTCGTGAGTATAAGCTGGGTTTTCCGGATGTTGCCAGTCCAAGAAAATGCTCTTGTCATTCAGCATCTTATGTTCGATCCTGCGACACCAGACGTAGTTGGCATCCGACGCCTACTGGAACGTGACTTGCATCCTCCCATATCGCTTTTGTGACAGGTACGTGGGAAGCAGAACCTGACACCTCGTTGTCATCAAGACATGCGCCGACATGTGCCTCCTCCACAGCGCAAGGAGACCCTTCACGGTATCAATGGTTCTCGGGACTTCCTCCTTGAACTTGGTTGGAACCAGCAGCGTAATCGAGAAGCCGGCATGCACAGCGATCTCACCAGCTTTCATCGGATCCAGCCGTTCCTCCGGGTCGTCGTTGAGATACCCATCATCCTCACCCTTTTCGTCTTCCTCCCCGTCTGCAGGAACTTCAGGGTCAGCCGCTGGCGGCGTCACCTCATCCTTGTTGCCTTCTCCCTCCTCAGCATTAGCATCCCCACTCGCAGCCTTCTCCGAGTATGGGAACTTCAGCGCCGCAAGCCTCTTCACCAAAGAGACGCGTGTATCATCCGCGAACGGACCCTCCACATCCTTCAGCAGCGGTTTCGGCGTCGCCGGCTCTGACTGATGACCCTTCGTTGCTGATTCTCGGACATCACCACTCGAAGTCTTCACATGCGGCTGCACAGCCTTCCTCGGCTGGCGAGGCATGATGTGATGATGAGGAAAGCCGGAGAGCAGATCTCTGATGAGACTTGACGAAACATCACTTGCTGATAATAATCCAGCTCTGAGCATCGAAACCTTATAGCCCGTGAAGCGCAGCTTAGGCCTCGGTTTTTTCCTTGGTAGGTGGTGCTTGAAAAATAGAATCTCGGGAATGTTCCCTTTGTTGACACTAGTTGACCACTCGCCTTTGTCAAGAGCCTTAAAAACTTGGAGCCTTGGAGCTGTCAGCCTTGGTAACACCAAAAACGTCATAAAAACTGTAGTTGCAAACGGGTTAATTGGTGTGCCTGACAATGGACCCGAGGGTACAATGCTTGTTGTATGGGCACAATGTTGGTACGTATCCTTGTGTTCCTTGTGCCACGTAGATCCCGAATTCGTCCTTGTATGAAGCAACTGACCAGAAATTGAGTGAAATTTGGCCTGATAAAGGTACTTGCAGAATCCATGGCGGAGAGCTAAGTTCAAGGTCCATCGGGTCAGGATCTTTCGTCGTTTCTCTCTACATCTAGTTACATCTACAGACAGATGGGAAAGGGTAAGCATCGCTGTATTATTCGTGTAGCGTCGTATCAGTTTCACTATTAGGTAAGAGCTCCAATTGAGTCTGTGGCGAATTTTCTTTTGGGTCGAGTCGCGAATTCGGTTGTTGTTGATGACAACAACCGAATTCGGTCGCGAATTTGGTTGACCAGCTAAGACCGCTCTGAAACATTGCGATTGTCAACAAACCCTTCTAACTCCCTCCCTTCCACTGCTGGGTATGGAACGTTCAACAAAGCGTGTCTCTCACCATTATGGCGTGTACAAAGTACTGCAAAAGCTCGACATCAAGGGATGTCGGTGAATCCCGACGGTTGGAACCATTGATCCGAGGGTCGAAATGCATCGACATCCCTCAGACGTTCACTTTGTATACGCCTTAATTACAACTCGCACTGAGGCATGCCATCTTGCCCTGAGCCTTCCTGCCCAAATACATACGCATATAATTGTGAAGTGTCTAGCGCTCCGCGCGACGTCGCTCCACGGTCGTGTCGCGACACCGATGGATCGACCTTCACATCGTCGGCGGGACGGCCCGGGCTATGCTGCATTCAATTTAAAACGATACGTAGCCATGCTGACATACATCATTCTTTCATCCTCTGCATTCGCAAATTGAGCAGTGATCCTGAATTTCCTTACATCATTGGTTACTACTACTACTACCAGCCGTCATCATAACTCTTCCCGACACCTAGCCATGGCAAATCTTCTTAATCGCTCATTTATGCTGCTCGTTCTTTCGCTGATGATCGTCTGTATCTCGATGTTTTCCACCGCATTCGCCGGCCCGAAGCACCTCGCTCGCACGCGCCAGGCGCACGACGATTACCGCCACCAGCGACAGCTGAGCGACCGTGAGCAAAAGCTGAGCGACGTCGTAGAGCGCGACGGCGATCGCCCTCCCCTGCACCTGGTCGAAACCAAAGCCAGTTTCCTCAAGGATCAGCGCGAGCAAGGCGGCAAATCATCGACCACTCCGATCCAATACTGGGGCGGTCCCGTACTGAACGGCGAGACGCTGAACATATACGTTATCTACTATGGCTTCTGGCCCGCGGGAGTCGGGCAAAATCTGATCGAGAATTGTTGGAGGTCGCGTGAGTTAGAAGCAAACGGTGGTGGGGCAATTGATATGCCCCCAACCCACCGAATGTATTTCGGTGCTCACCGCTTGAGAGAGCTGCAGGTTTCACGAAGTGTGTGGGTTGACTTCGGAAGACCCACTCAATTGGTGCCACATGGCAACACAAGAAGGATCGAGACTAAGGAAGAATTCGGTTCGGTGAAATTCGGGTGCCGAATTTCACCCCTTCGAATTGTTACGCGAATGTTCTCGATGCATCTCGTATGTTACATGCGCGACTCGATGTTTTGAGTAGCTATATATTGTGATTGCTTTGTATGCATGATATACTGAAAATCAGAGTTTTCTATACACAGTTCAACTCGACACAAAATCCAGAGACTTTCTATCCTTCAATCTTAGAGCACTACCTAGCACGTTGAAAGCCGTATCTCAGCCGACACTTGGGCGAATTACGTGTTCTACGGCTCCTTGGAAAGCCAAGAGTGTGCTCTACTGCTTAGAACAATTCCTAGTTCCTGCCAACTAGAGGACACGCCTCTACATCAGTGGTATCAGAGCTGGTCGGAGGAGTCTATGCGCGCGACAAGGAGCAAGCATGATGACGTCAAGCGAGGCCTCCCGCACTTCCTTGGATGGTGTCGTTGTAAATACCGGCGAACCCTGGGCAACCGCGACGATGTTCGACACGTCGGCGGTACCGATTTTCACGGGACAAAATTACTCCGCGTGGAAGTTTAAGTTCCAAGTGCTCATGATGGAGCGGGGAGTTTGGGGATTCTTCGATGGAATGGAGAAGAAGCCGGACGACGAGAGCGACATCGCGGCATGGAAAAAGAAGGACCAAAAGGCGTTCGCTACGTTGATTTCGCGCATCGGCATCAATCTCGTGAGCTCGGTGCGCATGTGCATCAAGCTCGAAGCGTCGGCGCATGAAGCGTGGAAGCGGCTCGAGACCATCCACGTGAACAAGACTCTCCACGGCAAGATCCTAGCCCGGAATGCGTTCTACACGGTGAAGATGCGCGCGGGCGAATCGATGCACGAGTATGCGACTCGTGTGGAGGAACTCGGGGAATCGTTCATGGACCTCGGTGGAACGGTCACGGAGGAGGATTGGATTCTCACCTTGCTTTGCGGCCTTCCGGAAGAGTGGTCGACGGTGATTACGACACTCGATAGCGTGCAAGGCACTTGGACGAAGGAAATGGTGGTCGGTCGGCTTCTCCATGAAGAATCACGTCGCCGACAATTCGCGAATGAGAGCGAGGGGACCGCCATGTACTCCGGAGGGAGTTCCGGAAATAAGTCCAAGTGGAGCAAGGGTGCGACGAATGAATCGTCGGGTGGGAGCGAGCATCGCGGCAAGTGTCACTATTGTCGCAAACCGGGACACTTTTGGCGTGAGTGTCGGAAGCGCCCGAGCGATTGGACTCCATCGAAGGCGCGGGACGAAGAGGGCAACGCGCATACGGCATCCGGCGAGGCCGATGATTCAAAGGAGTCGCTCGTGTTAGTGGCCGGCAACGGGAACAAAACTCCAAGCGACGGGTGGTTCCTCGATACCGGCGCAACGCAACACATGACGCACTCGGCGTCGCTCCTCAACAACATTGGCGCTCCGGGAGACGTCACGAGCATCGTGTTCGGAAACAACGAATCTCTACCGGTGGTTGGAGTTGGGAGTACGCGCCTCATCGTCGATAGCGGACCGGTGGACGTCACGAACGTGCTTCACGTCCCGGGGGTGAAGGTGAACCTTCTATCCGTCCCGCAACTGGCGAAGAAGGGCGTGATCGCCACCATCGACGGTGCGAAGATGAACCTCTTTTGGAAGGGGGAGCAATTCGCGCAAGGGGTTCTCAATGGAGATATCTACCAACTCAAGACGTACCCAAGAGTGGCTTCATCGAACGTGGCGCAAGGCTCCAAGGCAACTCTTAAGGCGTGGCATGATCGACTTGCGCACGCCAATTACGACTCGGTCAAGGAGTTGGCCAACAAAGGACTTGCGAAGGGACTTGACGTGATCGCCGGCGACGACGAGAAGGGCGTGTGCGCGGCGTGTGTCGAAGGAAAAATGGCTCGCAAGCCATTTGGTAGCCGAACGTCACCCCTCGCTAAGGACCCGCTTGCGCTTGTTCACATGGACGTGTGTGGACCGATGCGACATGCATCAAAGGGAGGAGCGCGGTTCCTCTTGGTGATGCTCGACGACGCGACGCGGATGTGTTGGACCCGACTCTTGAAGGCTAAGGGAGATGCGGCCAAGGCGATTCAAGAGTGGGCGCTCGATGTTTGCGACGACGACAAGAAGCGGATCAAGTGTATTCGCACCGACGGTGGGGGCGAATTCGTGAACGCGGAGCTTGAGAAATGGATGAAGAGCAAGGGCATAAAGCACGACGTCACGACACCCTACACACCCCAACAAAATGGAGCGGCGGAGCGGCTTAATCGCACGTTGGTGGAAGCCGTTTGTTCACTACTTCAACACTCCAAGCTTGGGAACGAGTGGTGGGGAGAGGCGAGTGCGCTAGCGGCATGGATTCGTAATCGTGTGCCGACAAAGGTGCTACCGGGAATGAATCCGTTCGAAGCATGGACCGGAACGAAGCCGAACCTATCCCGCCTACGCACCTTTGGGTGCCTTTGCTACTACCATATACCGGATCCTCTTCGCCACAAGTTGCAACCGAAAGCTCGTGCGGCGATCTTCTTGGGAGTTGCGCCAAACGAGCGTGCATGGCGAGTGTGGGACTTGGGTGAAAAGCGTGTCGTCACGTCTCGGGACGTGGTCTTCGATGAAGACAAGTTCCCGTCGAAGGAGAAACCCACTCAACAACTCACTTTCATCCTTCCGCCACGAGAGGAGGTTGAAGAGAGTGAGACTCCACCTCAAGTGGAGAAGGAAGCCGATGGAGGGGGAGAGAACAACGAGGAGAGCGTTGATGATGTCGTGGAGGTGTCACCTACCGAGGCGGCAACTACCTCCACACCTTCCTCCCTACCATTGGCCTTGACCCGCGAGCGTCGTGAGGTTCGTCCTCCCTCCAAGTACGCCGACTATGCTACGGTAGCCGTTGGGAAGTTGGATAAGGAGGGGGCGGCATTTTGCTTCGCAACGATGGGTGATGATGAACACATGGATCCTCTCATGGAACTACCCCCTAAAGATCCGTCCCGTGCATGCTACGAGCATGTTGGATTGCACACCTAGTGGGTTGGGTGCAAGGGGGAGTGTTGGAGGTCGCGTGAGTTAGAAGCAAACGGTGGTGGGGCAATTGATATGCCCCCAACCCACCGAATGTGTTTCGGTGCTCACCGCTTGAGAGAGCTGCAGGTTTCACGAAGTGTGTGGGTTGACTTTGGAAGACCCACTCAATTGGTGCCACCTGGCAACACAAGAAGGATCGAGACTAAGGAAGAATTCGGT